CGTATCTCGCGGGACAGAATTTGAAATAAATCGGTCGAAAAATAGTCGATCGCCAGGATCGTTGCGTGCTTAAATCCTCTGACCCGTTCGGTCAGCCTAACTAATGTCAATGTTCCTTTTCGATTTTCCCTTTTACCCAATGACACGTTTCCGATGGCCGACATTACCGTCGGCGTGATTAGCAAACAATCGAGATTCAGACGTTCGACGATCAAACATCGTCTGACGAAAAGTTTAGTCGGGCGAATTTCAACGGATCGACAAATGTTTGAGGCGCAAACGCGCGGGACACACGAGCGGTCCCGCGGCGACCTCGCTTCGCGCATTGGTAGATTAAATCTCCCTCGAGATTCACTGCTAAATTTCCCCTGGCGAATGATGATGTTGTCGCTGATCGTAGGTGCGATTAACGTAGGAACTGAGCACCGAACGATGACGACGGTGATCACGGCCGGAAATCGCGAGGTTCGAATCGTCGAGGCTCGAAACGCGAGCGCAGGTACGCGATAGTCTTTGAAAAAACAATCCCCCTCCCCGCCCCCAAGAACGAATAATTCCAGACACCCAAACCCCGACACCCCAAACTCCCCATAAAACTCCCCGAACGTGAACGTTTTTTAGACCAAAATCTTAGGCCAACGCCGAAGGAGATGCTATAATAATTTTAGGCCACTCTAGTCGCATCCGAGATAGTCGAAATTTGCCACGAATTTATAACCCCCCGACTACTTCCACGAACGTCGGTTCCGCGTTATTTTAGCCCCTTCTTCTCCCATTTTTTCCCCGTCCCCCCGCCCCTCTTTTTTTTCCGCGTTTCACGATACGTAACCTCTCTTTCTCACTTGTTAGTTTCGTCGCGATTCGACTCGACGATCGTCGATTTCCGGCTGGCTGACGCCGCCGCCATTGTTCCTCTTCGACTAGAGCGAACTCGTTCGGTTTTCGGATTGCAGGTAGGCCGGATCGCGGCAGTCGAATATGTTCGAAAACGTCCGAGTATCTCTGAGCGTCGAGACAATTCGCCGGGTAGTTGGAATTCGAGTCCTACGATTTTTCGATGTGGGCGGTTCGAGAAGGATGGAGCAGGGAGTGTCGCGTACCGCGTGCTCAGGGTAGAAAGATGGCGGTGGCTGGTGGGGTGCATCGATGAGAACGTGGAGTGAAAAGAAAAGAAACAGAGAAAACGTGGCGCGCGGTGAAACGAGAAAATAAAAGAAGACAACTCAGAGTCCAATGTGTCGTTTTTATTCTTCGTAAATAATAAATAAAATAATAATCAATAAATCGATCGTTAAAATTAAAACATTAGTGACTTGTGACTAGGTTAAGACTCACCGCTTACAGAAACGTGTGTGTGTATATGTATATTACGTGTGTACGTACGTGTGTTGCTCCTCGCTTTTACACGCTCTCCTCTCTCTGACGTGGTACACTCGCGTAATTCATGCTTAATCGTAATAATAGCCATAATAATGATGATGATAGGGGGATAATGATCGTCGTGACACAGTGACTAAACGCGTATAGCAACTAAAAAAAAAAAAAAAGGGGACGGATCGTGGACGCGAA